CTTTTTCTGATTTCATTCATATATTTTTGTTTTCCCCTTCGTTAGTCTTTCAGCCTCTTCTTCCATTCATCCCACTCTTTCTCATGGTTTAAACTCCCTTCATCCTCCATCCTTTTCCCTCCTTCCCCTCATCCTTTGGGTGTCCCACCTCTCCCTTTCTCTAGGAATCATATTTCCACGGAATGCTGTGTTTCCATTAGAGCTGCTAATAGAATTATAGTCGGTCACATGAGCTTGTGCAACACACACAAACGCATGTCCGTGCATATGCATGTGAGAGGACGGACACACAGGAGAGACACGCGGTCAGACAGATTAGTATTATTAAAGTTTTACTCTCCTCTAATCCTCTCAAACTCGCTCATACAGCACACATGCTAACAAACACACACTCTCTCGGTGGGGTACACCCTGTGTGAGGAGCAGGCTATGTGAGATAAACTGATCACACAGCAGTACAATATGCTGAAAGTGATTATGTGTGAGTGTGTTTGCGCGTGTGCGTTTGTGAGAGATAGAGAGCAAAGGAGAAATGATGATGTGCAACAGAAGTCAGGAAGCAGTTATTATTCGCACTGGAGGAAGATGTGCTCCAGTATAAAGGAGCATCTGAGACAGAGCCAAAATGCATGTTTGATAAAAGAAAATTTTACTATGCTGATTTCAAGGAAATCTCTAAATTCAACCCCTCACTTTATTAAAAATAAATAAATAAATGAGGGGAGTGCAGTTTCAGCCAAGTAATGAGATGAAAGATATGCTCGAAAATTGAAACCACAGTGGTTTTTCTCATAGGACACAGCTGCATCTGATACCAAGTGACTTCATTGCTGGTAAATGTAAAGAGCACCTCCTTGGGCATGACTGCTCTATTCAAAGCACACTATTCTTTAAATATTTGCAGATCTGGTGCTGTTGTTTTTTAGTGCATTTGTTTTTTTGGTTTTTTTTTAAGATCACTTCTACCTTCAGGGCATTGCAGTTTATTTTGTAATAGAAGCAATAAAGTTTATTTATATAGCACTTATCCAAACAAATATTACTGCAGACTTGCCATAAAAAAAACAACTTACCCACATACACAAATAAAACCAGCAATCCACATTATTAATAGAACAAATCATAACAGAAAAGTCTGAAAATGCAAAACCGCTATATCAATAAATACTAAGAATGAATAAGAGTTCGCTAAAAGGCTAGCTTTGAGTTATATTGTTTTCCTTAAGGATGACAAGCCAAGCAATTGACGGATGTTATCACTATAAGGAGTGGAATATGGCTATCTATTCATATTTTCATATAACATTAACAGTAAGACTGCATTTTGGTTGTATTTCAGTCACTAATCCCAACAGAAGGTCGTGTTAGTTGCTAGCTAAGAGTGCTAGCTGTTGCCCCAAAATTAGAAAGACTCTTATGGCATGTAAACATGCTAAGTCAAGTATTATAAGGATCTACTAAGTTATTTTATGTCATTGCTGTATTATGGTTTTGTATCTTGACTTCTGCAGTGCTGCAAAAAGTCCTTGATTCCAAGTTAACTCGTTGGTGATAGCTGTGAGTCAGAGTAGCTAGCTCTTTGCTATATTTCTAAATGTGTTGTGCAAAGTAAATGTAGCTGTATGTGCATAACATCTTATTCAC